GATAGACTCATTACATGCAAAGCCAGATAGTTCAAGCCGTGATTTGTCATCATTGTGATGATTATGGCTTACAGCTCATGAAAACCCCAAATCCACAATCTCAGAAAATGAGAATATTGTGAAAAGGTGGAATAATCTCGGCTCAAAGTGTCCCACTCTAATCAGCTCATTCAGCCATAACACCTGCAAAGGGTTCCTGAGCCTTTAAATGGTCTCTCAGTCTGGTTCAGTAGGAATCACAATCATGGAAAAGACTGCTGACCTGACACCATCACTGACACCCTCCATAAGGAGGGAAAGCCTCAAAAAGGGAATTGCAGAAGAAGTTGGATGTTCCCAAAGTGCTGTATCAAAGCACATTAATAGAAAGTTATGTGGAAGGGAAAAGTGTGGAAGAAAATGGTGCACAAGCAGCAGGCATGACCACAGCCTGGAGAGGATTGTCAGGAAAAGGCCATTCAAAAGTGTTGGGGACTTTCACAAGGAGTGGACTGAGGCTGGAGTCAGTGCATCAAGAGCCACCACACACAGATGGATCCTGGACATGGGCTTCAAATGTCGTATTCCTCTTGTCAAGCCGCTCCTGAACAACAAACAACGTCAGAAGCGTCTTACCTGGGCTAAAGAAAAACAGACCTGGCCTGCTGCTCAGTGGTCCAAAGTCCTCTTTTCTGATGAGAGCAACTTTTGCATCTCATTTGGAAACCAAGGACCCCGAGTATGGAGGAAGAATGGAGAGGCCCAAGGACCCCCGAGTATGGAGGAAGAATGGAGAGGCCCAAGGACCCCGAGTATGGAGGAAGAATGGAGAGGCCCAAGGACCCTGAGTATGGAGGAAGAATGGAGAGGCACACACTGATGCTTGAAGTCCAGTGTGAAGTTTCCACAGTCTGTGTTGATTTGGGAGCCATGTCATCTGCTGGTGTTGGTCCACTGTGCTTCATTAAGTCCAGGGACAACGCAGCCGTCTACCAGGAGATTTTGGAGCACTTCATGCTTCCTTCTGCAGACCAGCTTTATGGGGATGGTGACTTCATTTTCCAGCAGGACTTGGCTCCGCCCACACTGCCAAAAGCACCAAAAACCTGGTTCAATGACCGTGGAATTACTGTGCTTGATTGGACAGCAAACTCGCCTGACCTGAACCCCATAGAGAATCTATGGGGCATTGCCAAGAGAAAGATGAGAGACATGAACCGAACAATGCAGAAGAGCTGAAGGCCGCTATTGAGGCATCCTGGTCTTCCATAACACCTCAGCAGTGCCCCAGCTGATAGCTTCCATGCCACGCCGCATTGAGGCAGTACTTGGTTTAGGCCCCTTTTGCAGCAATTACTGAGTACATATGCATGCTTCTACTTTTCAGAGGTGCGATATTGTTCTATGTACAATCCGTGTTTTATTGATTGCATGGAATATTCTCATTTTCTGAGATTGTGGATTTGGGGTTTTCATGAGCTGTAAGCCATAATCATCACAATGATGACAAATCACGGCTTGAACTATCTTGCTTTGCATGTAATGAGTCTATCTCATGTATTTCACCTTTTATTGCACCTTTTATTGCATTACTGAAATAAATGAACTTTTGCACGATATTAAAATTTTTTTGAGTTTCACCTGTATGTGTGACCAGTGCTGCCTATAGCAAAGACCTCTCCCCTCAGGTACCTGGTCCCTGCCCGGATTGCAACATTCATTCCATCCTAATCCCTGACTTGTTTCCATGGCTGCTATGAAGCAGTTACCAGCCTTCACATGTGGTGGACCTGCCCGGTTGTTCTAACGTATTGGTGCAAAATATTCCATATGCCTACAGTTCTTTATGAAGAAGTTACAGTATATATATATCCATCCGGCCACTGCCTCATTTAATAACAAGCCCCAAGAAGTATACCTTATGGTGTGTCTCCAAGCTATGGATGGAAGGAAAGGGATCACCCCACCGGCAAGTGAGAAGAGGGGAGCATGAGTCAGAGCAATTCCAGTGTCAGCCAATACAAGTAAGGGGATGGATGCAGTGTGACCAAGCCCTAGTGGGCGGGGGGAAATGCATTAGAGGGCGTGGCTAGAATGGCAGCTGAGGCCATTCCTCAACACTGGACTGGGGTCGGTTGACCAGCATCCATTCCATTACTTGCATAAGGCCCAAGAAGTGACACACTGGCAATTCAAACTACTCCTGTAGGTCACCATCACGGCTTAGCAAACCATAGCGAAGGCCTGGAAATCCCCCCCACCTCAATACCACTGAAACTAAGAATAGTGTCACTCAAGCCACGATACATGTCAAAGTAGAAGCCGTCCTATTAGACAGAGTGCATAAAAATGAACAACTATGGCAACCATGGGTTGACCATTTCCTACCCTCAAACTCTGATGAAATGATGAAACCTTACTCTCTTTTGTAGTCCTGAGTCCATTAGGTAACCCACTACTCAGTTGCTACTCTATACAGGCACACACCCTCCCCCCCCCCCCCCCCCTGGGGACCTCCTCTCCTCCCCCCTTATCTGTACCCCTTTCTTCACTACTCTTGCTCTTATCTCTCCATTGCTCTCTTCCTTTTCACCTTTCCTCTCATTACCTCTTCATCCCTTATGGGGTTTTCCCAATTGGGGCAACCTACACTATCAGATTGAGTTTTCAGTGAGGCGGACAGGTCACCCCACTCGTCTGCCACTGATATCTGCATACAGGTTGAAGTACTAAATCTATACTCCCACTGTGAGAGTACCAGAAATGATATTTATAGAGTATATAACATGTTTCAGTCTCTACATTCACTCCCTTGATACTATAGCACTGTTATCTCTTGCTGAAGTTAAAGTAGAGCTCCACCCAAAAGGGGAAGTCCCGCTTTAAGGACCCCACTCCCCAATAAGAACTGGCACCTTTTGGGGGGTGGAGTACCTGAAATTGACAAGTATTTGCTTCCACCTCTGCTGCAATCACATAGGTCGGGTGGGCAAACTGGGGCTCTCCAGCTGTTGTGGAACTACATTTCCCATGAGGAATTGCAAAGACTGGAAGTTACAAGCATGACTCCTATGACTTGCAGAGGCATTATGGAACTTGTATTCTTGCAACAGCTGGAGAGCCACAGTTTGCCCACCCCTGACCTAGGTGATCAGTTGTCCTCCCCCCTCCCTCCCTGTAGTATTCTGGGAAAGGACCATTCACAAAGCACAGTGATACTCACTCTTGAAGCTGCAAGCTGTCACAGCTGGGTGCCCACTTTGAAGATGCCGGCACTGGAAACACAGGGCAGCCGGTGAAACGGGCTGTGGGGAGGACAGCATGAGATCGAGGGACAGGTAAGTGTCCATTTTTTAATAGCAGCTACAGTTTTTGTAGCTGATGACTTTTATTTTTTTTTATTTTCACTGGAACTCCACTTTAATGTATGAAGATATTATTTGTACTGTACAAATTACAACCTGTACGTTACCTCTAACTTATGAACAAGAGAAGATATGGACCCCACAATTCCTCTATATACTCCACAATTCTCCCATGTGGACACCTCGTAAGTGGTTCTCCAGTATAGACTCCCAGTTTGGGGAACTCATTTAGAAGAAGCCGTCAGCTAGAATCAAACTCACTACTCTACAGTATGGTGAAGACCAAGGAGGCCTAGCAATACCAAATGTTAGACTTTATATTATAGCTGCCCAACTTCAACATCTTACCAGGTGGGACTTAGTAGACACATTAGATCCCATCCATCGGTTGCTACTTCCATCAGATACAGATTTCACATCACTCACTCTCACACTTGTTAATGGGCTTCAGATGGCACCAGTGGGAAAGGCATGATCTCTCATATATTTATTCCAGTCTTTTGACTCTTACTTGAAGACTTATAGAAAGAAATGGGAAACAGAGAAAATAAGAGAGAGTGGTGGGAGGTGATTGTGACCTCCATACCTCTCATCTCTCTGTCCTCTTCACAGAAACTCAGTCATTTCTTTTGCATAGAGCTTTCAGGACTCCAGCTCAATTGTTCAGCTAGGACAGGAGGGATTTCCCCTTATGACCCCAATTGTAGCGGTGATGTCGGGGATTTGATACACATGTTTTGGAGATGTCCAAAATTATTCAAAAAGTGGAACGATATGACCAGTATTGTAATGTTGGTATTCAATATTCCTCGGGTGTGCCTCTTGGTCTCAATAGAGGAGGAATTATTTACACCTCCTCCTATTACAAGTCATATAGCAATAGTGAGGCTGCTTGACCATAAAAAATATCCCCGATCTTGGCTATCATCTCAAACTCCCAGCAGACAACAGTGGATTGAGCAGGTGATCTCCACATTAACATGTGAAAAACTAACTTACCAACATTGTAATTCCCCAGGAGATGTATGTCTGGCAGAACTGGCTGGATACTCCTTGCTCACTCCTAGTTAGTTCTTCATAGGCTTTTAAAATTTTAGCTCTTTTAGCCCCATAGAAGGAGAACGGCCAGTTGTATCCTACTGAATGGTGACTACATGGGGACCCATACTTGGGGTATGATCCTGGAGACACGGGCCTCATTGATCGGTGTCAGCTATCTATGTATGTACTGGGGGGGAGTTACTTGCCGTGTACAGCTGAATTGTTCTAGGTTGTTTCTTCTTTTCTCTGTTCATTTGTTTATAAAAGGTAAAAGTGACACCATAGACAAAGCAAGTTATTGTTCTGTATGATCTGTAACAGTGCCACAACTGCCTATACGTGAGAATGTATGACTCCATTGTCTGGGCTGAATGTTGGGAATACTGTGCGCACTTATAAACTTTCTTAATAAAATCTATTTGATTAAAAAATACTGTAGATAATGCTGTACATATTCTTTCTATTCATAAGATATATTTAGTAATGAACATTAAAAATAGAAAGCAACTTTATGTAGCCCTTTATATAGAATTCTATCTTTTTTCTTTCTCTACAGGTAGATTGATGAACCAGGTTTTTGGGACATTTTGGTCTTCATGAATACAGCTGAGTCACATGGAAAACAAGACATATGGGTGTCTTAATTGACTGAAAGTCTTTACTGCAGTTCACTGGAGGATTCACACGGGATACAAGTCATATCTGTGTTCTAAAAGTCATGGTTTGGATCCTCTTCCACATTGATCCAGCAGGAGAAAAGTAATTTCAGTGTTCTGGAAGTGACAATGGCTTTACACTAAAGTCCAAACCAGTATACATAAGAGGGAGTCATTTCATACTACTTTTTTTTTGGAGATTTTACAATGGAGAGAAAATATATCACACACACAGAAGAAGGTTCACAATGGAGGGAAGCCATATCATTGTTCTGAATGTGAAAAAACTTTTACAAGCAAGAGTGAGAAGCCTTACAGTACACCAACACTGGAGAGTTCACACTGGAGAAGCCATATCAGTGTTCTGAATGTGATAAAGCTTTTACTCAGAAATCACATCTTATCAAGGTCACCAGAGTATTCACACTGGAGAGAGAGCCATATCAGTGTTTTTACTGAATGTGATAAAACTTTTACACAGAAAGTCACATCTTATCTGAATGTGACACCACAGGAGGATTCACACTGGAGAGAAGTCATATCAGTGTTCTGAATGTGATAAAGCTTTTTCACAGAAGTCAAGTCTTATCACACACCAGAGGATTCACACTGGAGAGAAGCCATATCAGTGTTCTGAATGTGATAAAGCTTTTACACGAAAGTCAGATCTTATCAAACACCAGAGGATTCACACTGGAGAGAAGCCATCAGTTTCTGAATGCTCTCAATGTTCACACTGGAAAAGCCATTTTACAGTTAATTTTTCAGTTAATGCCGGTCTAATCTATCATTAGAGGATTCAAATCTCAGCATAGATTAAATTCTGGAAGAAAAGCGATATTAAAGAAGTTTCAGGTGTCACAAGCTAGTTTCACATCCCCAATGTCACCCACAAGCTAGAGAAGAAGGGAGAAGATAAAATGTTACTTTAAAAGAAACAAACTAAAATCTGAGCAAACTGGAATGTAATGATTGGATGAACTGAGTTTAGTGCTTATGTCCATCAATACACAACTAGAAGGGATTTGAATATTTTATCTTTTGACAATTTTTTTTAAAGATAAGCATCAATAACTGAACAGCTTCCCTCATGATTCTCATCTTTATCTTTTTTTATGGAGCTTTGAATGAACATGTAATGCATTTTCATGATTCACCAACTGAGTTGTGTTTCCAAGCATTTTCTTCATTTCTGGATCCTGAGGTAATACATGACCAACACTGCCTCAGTACCAGAGACTAGGATGGGGTCTATTGTCATCTTACCAAGTCTCTGAAGCCTCAGTGGGAGAGTCCATTCCAGGTTCTTCTGACTATTGATACATGATCAGCCAGGCTTGAGGTCTCCAGCTAAGCCCACCTTGTCCATTCCTCCCATTACATGTTCCATCTCCTCTCCCATTATCAATGCCTTCTTTCCACATTTCATCTTCTCATAGGCGACAACTTTCAGGCAGGTCTGCGGCTGTGACACCAGCTAGAAAGAAGTCTCTGTTCAGTGAGAAAACAACATCCCAAGCTGATGCAGGCCTTCCAATACTGAGTTACTGCTGATTTAGGGGATGTATTCAGCAGTAAAACGTAAGCCCAGCTGGCCACTTGTGTTCCATGTGGTTCTGCCAAATGGGATTCCATCAGGTGAAGATCAGAAATCCTTGTTCCATGTTTTCTCTTTCCAGCTATTACTCCTCTCCATAGACTAATCACACAATACAACTGCCAGAGATCTGAACTTACAAAGTGCTGAGTGTGCGGTCATATTCCTACCACTTCTTCCGGGGGACTGACATTCCTCTGATTGGGGTTCACAATAATCACTCTGAGTGCACACATCTCTTTTTGGTGGAAAGTTTGTAAAGAAAACTTCTTCTCCCTGGAAATATTACAACGTTGGCCACCAAAGTGTAACTATGGGCAAAATCAATAATGACATTAATAATGAAATCTGTCATTAGAGCAGGTTTTGTTTTTCTGAGTCTCCCCTTGTCATTTTTTTTTGTCCCTCCCAGTAGATTTTTTTTTTTACTTTTGTAGAAGGCCAAGCTTTTTGGAAAAAATGGCAGTTGGAGGGGTTGGGGCAAATCCTATAACACTGCTGGGGGTGCTCACAACTGTCAGTTGTCATTCATATGGGGGGTTGGACCTTATAGAGAACCTGTTGCTGTAACTGCTGTAGAAGCGTTAGCTGAAGTTGGGCTTTACTTGTTGTGTGTCTTACTTATAATCTATCTAAGACTTCCCTGTACAGGGTGACAACGCTGCTGTGTAATGTTCCTGCAGAATGATCAGGGTTGTCACCCTGTTACAGAAGGTGGGAAAATAACAGATCTACAGACAGGACCAACAGCTGATACAACTATGTTGCAGAGGGAACTCTGGGAATGCTAATGACAGATTGCATACACATTCAGTTAGCAGACTTCCTGCTGTTGGTCTGATGTTTGAATTGTGTTCTGATATTTACTGTCCTGCTGTAAAAGGTGTAAATGATCGCCCGCATGTTTCCTGTAGTAGCAGGGACTACAAACTCATATCAGGAATAGTAGGATGGCTACCTACCCAAGGGGGTCACCTTTTTGGATTTGGGGGGAAACATTTCACATGGTTTCTTTTCCATTAATGACACCGACAAGGGGAGTCTCACTTCACTAACAATAGGAGAGCCAATCACAGGCCAGTAACATTTCATGGTGTCTCAATGTATTGCAGAATGTTTAATCCCCATTGGTCCAATGGATTCCTAGTCCTTCCAGATGCATTGCTTCTTGTGTGGAAGGAGCACCCTAAAATGTCTTCCCTTCAATTCCACCCATAGCTGTACTTTAGGTGATGTTGCCCCTCCCCCATATCTGTAAGGGAAAGCCTCAATTTCTCCCAATACTCCCCTGGCCTTCCAGTGAGAAGAAACATTTTCTCTGGAGTGGAGATGTTTTATGCAGTGAGCCCTTCATAGACGGGATGGGGAATCTAAGTAATCTAAGATAAGTAAGATGAACCGGTGTACTGGAGTCATGGATCAGATAACCAATGACACCATTGATGGTATAGCAGAGCTGACAGCAGAAGTGGCTCCATCACCTAAGGTGGTGTCACAGAACTACATGGCAGCTGACTATCTCTCAGAAGATCAAGGCGGAGTCTACAAACTGGTGTCAGAGAGTGTTGTACATTTATATTAGATCATGAGGATCTCAGAAGGAGATATCTACACAAGGTAAAGGAGTTCCAACAGTCACCTGGGGGGGGGGGAAGTGGGATCCATTTTCTTGGATGGGTTTAGTTGGAACTTGGTTGAGTAATATGGTGGCTTTGCTTCTTAAGCCATTAGTTGCTACTATAGATTTGATAATTTTATACATTGTTGCTGTTGTGTTTTGCTGAGTTGAATGTGCTATGCACATGATTACATTTACATTTTAGAACAGAAGATTACTTTAAACCCACAAACATGGTTTATTTTTCTAAAGTAGAGACCCTGGAGAATATAGTGGTAGTTGCCATTTTCCATGTCACAGGATATTAGCACAGCTGTTTATCAAATGCATATTTTCTGTAAAAAAAAAACCCACTAAAGATCATTTTAATTATTATAATAAAGTATATATCGCCAAAAAGGCTCAGCGCTGTACATTATAGTGGGGGACAGAACATGAGACAGTACAGTAGCAAGACAATACACGAGGGGTTCGAGGGCCCTGCTCCTTGGAGCTTACAATCTAGGAGGGAGGGGATAGTGGTATAGGAGGAAGTGGCTGTGGGGGATGGAGTGGTAGAAGGAGTGGAGGAGATCGGCTGTTAAGTGAGGGTGGGGTAGGCTTCCCTGAAGAGATGAGTTTTCAGGGTGCGCCTAAAGGTGAGGAGGGTAGGTGACAGTCTGATGGATTGTGGTGGTGTTTCAGAGGATGGAGGAAGTTCTGGAGAAGTCCTGCAGTCGGGCGTGGGAGAAGGAGACCAGGGAGCTAGAAAGTAGGAGGTCTTGTGAGGAGCGAAGAGTACGGGTAGGGTGGTATTTGGGTATCAGGTCGGTGAGGTAGTTAGGAGCAGCGTTATGAATGGCTTTGTAGGTTAGTGTTGAAGTTTGAATTTAATGCATTGGGCAATCGGAAGCCAGTGGATGGAATGACAGATGGGGGTGGCAGCAGAGGAGTGGTTGGTAAGGTGGATGAGTCTGGCCGCTGAGTTCAGGATAGACTGAAGCGGGGATAGTCTGTGTTGGGGGTAGGCCGGTGAGGAGGGAGTTGCAGTAGTCCAGGCCTGAAATAATAAGGGAGTGAACAAGTTTTTTAGTAGTGTCCGGGGTAAGAAAGGACAGGTTTGAGTTTATATTGACACCTAGGACTTTGGCTTGCGGGGTGGGACTGATGGGTGGCGTTGTTGGTCATGACGGAGAGGGTGGGGGAGCGCGGGCAGGAGGGAAAGTTAGAAACTCGGTTTTGGAAAGGCTCAATTTGAGGAAATGGAGCGATATCCAGTCCGATATGTCGTTCAGTAGGTGGGTGATACGGGTGGAGACTGAAGGGGTGAGGTGAGGGGTGGAGAGGTAAATTTGTTTGTCATCAGCGCAGAGGTGATAGTTGAAGCCGTGGGAGTGTATCAGTTTGCCGAGGGAGGAGGTGTAGATGGAGAAGAGAAGGAGCCTGAGGACAGAGCCTTGGGGGACCCCAACAGAGAGGGGGAGGTGGTAGCGTTATACATAATGCTGAAGGAGAGTTGGGATAGATAGGAGGAGAGAGCGGAGTCTCTGATGCCGAGGGAGTGTAGTTTATTAAGGAGGAGGGGGTGGTCAACTGTGTTGAAGGCTGCGGAGAGGTCGAGGAGTAGGAGGACTGAGTAGTGGCTGTTAGCTTTGGTGGTTAGCAGGTCATTAGTGATTTTGAGTAGGGCGGTTTCGGTGGAGTGTAGGGGACGGAAGCCAGACTGTAGTGGATCGAGGAGGTTGTTTTCAGTAAGGTGGGCGCTTAGGCAATTGTAGACTAAGCACTCAAGGAGCTTGGAAGTGAATGTCAGCAGTGAGATGGGTCTAAGTTTGTTCAGGTCGGTGTGGTCCAAGGAGGGTTTTTTGAGTATGGGGGTGATGTGCGCGTGCTTTAGGGGGGAGGGGAATGCGCCAGTAGAGAGGGAGAGATTGAAGATGTGGGTGAGGGAGTGTAGGATGGAGGAGGAGGGTGCCCAGAGGAGTTGTGTGGGACCAGGGTCAAGGGGGCAGGTAGTGAGGTGGCTTCTGAGAAGAGCTTAGTGACCTCCCCAGTGGTGGCAAGGCTGAAGGAGCGAAGTGTTGGGGAGGTTATAGTGTGCAGGATGTTAGGTGTGGTGGGGGGCAGAGCGGTTGCGAGATCAGAGGGGAGAGTTGGTGGGGTTATAGTGGGAGGGAGGTCAGGTGGGGAGATAGGTTGAGCATTGGCAATGTCCTTACGGATTGCGTTGATCTTATTTTGCAAGTGATTGGCAATCTCGTGGGCTGTGAGTGAGGTGCTGGGTGGGGGTGGGGGGGGGGGGGGTGAGAGTAGGGAGTTGAAAGTGGAGAAGAGCCGGCGAGAACAGGTGGAGAGGGTGTTGATGAGGGTTACAAAGTAGGCTTGTTTGGCGGCGTGGAGGGAGGAGGTGTAGGTGAGGA